AGCCTAAGGCAGGGACAAAATAGGTCAGCAGGCACCAGGGAGACAAGAATATCCCTGTGAAGTGGTGAAATGGATCTTTTCCCTATGCAGACTGCACCTGACGAAAGAGCAGCGCTCTGAAAGCTTGTGATTTCAATTAAACCTGACGGACTATAACCTGGTGTTGTGTGACTTCTGACCTTGTCCACCCCAGTACAACACCAGCACCTCCACATCACAGCTGACTGAGGTCTCAGTACCTCTTAAGTCAACTGTAATTGATTACTACTTTGATATTGCATTTCCCTCTGTTGACTGAACATTTTCTAAAAGACAGCTCTTATGATGCTTGGATTTAAATGAGGCTGTATAAAGTGGAAGCATGGATCATGGGATAGAAGCTTATGCTGGTCATGGAAGCGGGAGGCAAAGTAAGCAGGAGAACTTAATTGCACCACAGACCAACTCGTACTCTCGAGCGTGAACCCTTTCAGACCCTCACATCCTAATGCAGCATCACGTTCCACTCAGCGCCCCCAAGATTTTTCCCATTATTAACACCCTGTCTTTGAGTATGTAACTTTATTTTCCACCACCCCATCTCCTCCACATCTCTGAATTCAGAAATTCAGGCAGTCTGGAGGCTTCCTGTTCCCTCGGAATATACTGTCTTTGAATTTGGAAAATTGATAAGTTTCTGAGTTGAAGACTATTAACTTTGATTCTGTTCCAGACAGTGTGAAGTCTGTAGGTCCGCTTAGACTGGAGAACCTTTAATCTTATGAATTCCCTTTGCAGAAGATGGCTGTCGTCTGGCTGAAACAGGTACTTACTTTTTTGCACTATCCTGGACTTTTTCTTTCTTTTTGGCCATATCACAGATCTCTAAAGCAGGCAACTTCTTCACTGTGGCCGAATCTGTGGATGTTGATCACACCATCTCAATATTCCATGGAGTTAGATGCACCAACACTTGAATCTGTCTGAGCAGATTGTTATTCTCAGTCTGCTGGCAAATCTTGTTGAAGTGTGTCAGCTCTTTACTACAATGTGTTTCATTAGGTTCATTTGCCCATAGTGATAGCTTGACATGTCTACTTCCTCAATTGTACTGCTTGGGGATTGCTTCTTGCTTCTTGCTTTTATGACTACAGCTGTGCCAAATATACGATTATCATTTTTAGAATTTAGATTATTTTACAAAGAGAGGCATATGGATGCAGGTTAGCGCTATGGAGTCAGTAACCAAACTTGTATCAGTTTGTGGTTCCCTGACTGGCTGTTCTTTGGTCAGTGGTTATTTGATGTAAATAATTCACTTCCTTCCACCATTGAAGAGATTCGGGTCAAAACATTCGTGCTCAAGTGTGAGAATTCTTTATTGTAAAATATGTGTAAATTCTCTACTATCTTTATTCTCTATGTTGCAGAGAAATGTTAGGAGATAAACTAAAACTTTCTTCTGAAGTCAATCTTCAATTCTTCTCAACTAAAACCCTGGGGTTTTCTAAAATGGACTACAAACAAAACTAATGTAACCAAAAATTATAAACATCTTATTCTATTAACACACCTAGGGCTTTCCTAAGTTGTTTGCAGTCATGTGTTCTCTTGAAACTGCTACACTTAGGTCATTGTTCCAGAATTACATGTTGACCCTTTTCTATAAAAGGTTTGCAGAACTTGATCAAAAGTACCTGCTGCATCTTTTACCCTTCGACAAGCTATAACCCCATCAGCTGTTGTCCCAATTGAAGACAAAAATGTATTAACTTGTTCAGCTTCTCATTCAGTCTCTAGTTTGGAAGTAAGTCTGTCTCTTAAGAAATATTTTCTCCTGGATGAACTATTCTGTGTTTGATTTGGCCAACTCTGAAATTAAATCTTCCTGGCAATATGATTTCTGCTATCCTCCATTGCTAATGTGATTACATCTTTTCCTTGCTTTAAAGACTCTTACCTCTGCAGTACAACGATGTTGCTACTGTGCACTGCTGCATTGAAGTTTTTCCTGTCCTTGTGCAGTCAAATGAAGGAATCCCAGTGTTTGCAAGTAAAATGGAGATTCCCACCTTCTGCAACTAAATGAATCATACCTGTCTTTTTCACAGCTTCTCTAGGTGAACCTGCTTGATTAACAGTTCCTGTTTTCTTAACATGAATCATTCCTTTTAATAAATAAAGGTCTCTGTTTCATTTTGTTTGATCAGAACCAATATTCAGGATTCTCGTATTGTTTGCCATACTGTGTTATTAAATGACAGAACTCTTCAACTACTCAGTGCACTTGTGACGGGTATGACAAGGCATTAGGCCTCTGAGTTCCTTATTTTTAACTTCTTCTCAACTTTGCACGATTTATTTCACCCAACAATCACATGAATTATACCACAATGTGCACAATTTACTTATTGTTTCATTTGCTTCCTGTGTCGTACACTAGGGAAAACATGTAACAGTAGGAGCCAAATAGGGGATATTTTAACCGGCCTTGTTTTACTTCTGAAAAAATTGCACGCTTCCAACCACAATCACCTGAAAATGCAGCTCCACAACTTCAGCACTCCTCCAGAGAATGCTGGTCACATCTTTTAGCGTGTAAATTAGCTACACGCACCAATTACAGTTTATTTATCTTTGCTTATACATAGAGCTGGAGCACATGTCTGTGCACTGATTGCTTGTTGACACCATTACACCTTGTTATTTTAAATCAGACACTTCACTCACATCCCTCTTAAATAGATACACGCATTTAACAATTTGAACCAGCTGGTGTGTGACCTGCTCTCTATCTTGTTGAAGGTGAGGAAGGGAAAACTGACATGAAAGGAGGTGGGAAGTACTCTGACTTGGCCACAACTGTGGTTCAGTGATAGTACTCTCAGCTCTGACTTAGCAGGCTTTGGGTTCAAGTTCCATTCAATCTGTTCTTGAGCAAACAATCCAGCCTGGTACTCTGTTCTCATATTAAGGGAGTGCCACCCTAGTGGATGTTGCAATCTTTTGAGTTAAACTTTTAAAGAATACCCCATTGGCCCTATTGGTTGAACATAAAAGATTCCATGTCTTACAACTAGACGCTGGTTGATGTTCCCTGAGTCAATATGGTTCCAGATGGGATGCCTCGAATTGTGAAGCTCCCAGGTAAGGAGGGGTGAACAGGTTTCTTATCTTTATTAATCTATAAACTCCTTAGGTGCTCACAGCAAGATTAATTTACATAGGTTCCCCTCCCTTGTTGATGCCTTTCTGCCAGACCAAATGCATTTATGTTATCAAAGGAGCCAATATTACCAGGCGTTCTAGAGTTACCAAGAGTAAGTTCATTAGTTGCTAAATGCGAGGAGTAATAATAACAGAACACACGCACACTTAGAAGTGAGCCCAAGAGAAAGATAAAAGTTAAAAGGTATACAGGTCAGTCTTTATGGGTCATTCGTGAAGAGTAGATAGTGGAATGTTGATAGATTAACAGTCAATTTCAGGATTCTTGGTTTTGCAGTTTAGATGAAATCCTTTAGTCCTGTTTCTTTTTGACTCATTTACTGGCTAGCTAGTTTCTAGCACTCAGTGCGATGCTGGGGTATCTAGTGAATGGTTTCAATTGTAACTTACACAGCACTCTAGCGCTTCAACATTCGATGGCAGACATGAGTACCTCAGTTCAGTAGCACACCTTCTTCCACGAGCACACACAAACCAGAGTTGAACACTAAAACAAAACAAAGAACTGTGGATGCAGTGGAATCTGAAACAAAAACAGGAATTATCAGAGAAAATCAGCAGGTCTGGCAGCATCCGTGGACAGAAAACCGAGTTGACGCTTTAAAGCCACGTCTGAAGAAGTGTCTACTCTAGACTTTCACATCTTCTAACTGTCATCACTCTTTTAGCTTCTTCTCTCAAACTACTCAATGAAGTATTGGCAGAGTATATTACATAGATATACATGTTATATATAGAATACTTATTACATAGCTATAATTATAGTCTGTTTTATATATATATTACGTAGCACAGGAGCAGGTAATTGGTTCATGCTGGTGTTGATGCAATACACAAGCTTCCTCCCTCTAATTAATCCTTCCTGCACTGCCTCTAATTCCTCCTTGCTAATGTGTGCATCAAGTCTCTCTTTAGATGCACCAATACTGTTTGCTTCCTATACTCCCATCAGTTCCATATGCTTATCAATCTTTACATTGAAATTATTTATAAATTCTTTATTTGATCCTATTTGACGATCTTAAATGCATGCCTTTTTGCCGAGTGTTCACCCACAAATAGAAGCAGATTTTATTTTGTGTTTTTTTTCATCCCTTTGAAATTTGTAAGACCTCCATAAGGTTACATCTCAGTCTTTTATCCAGGGAAAAGTGAGTTTTTCTGGTCAACATGTTACAAATTTATTTTAGACTTTATTCACCCCAAGACTGAGGGATTCAGTTATATTTGGAAGCTAGTGAACTTAAAATTGTTCCTCTTGGCTCAGAGAACGGTAAGAAGATATTTAATAAATGTTTAATCTTCATTGTGTAATAGGTGGTTCAGAATCATGAAAGATTTTTATAGAGTAAATGGCAACAGGTGTGGTAACCAGAGGGCATGGAATCAGAATAATTAGCAAAGGAACCAAGGGGAAGAAAAGACCTTTTTATAAACAGGTAACAATCTGAATGCAAAACCTGAACTTTCAAAAAACCATTAGACATGCACTTGAACAGGGAAATGAAAGAGTATAAGTGTGAAGTAAATTGGCTAATTATTTCAAAAAAGAAAGCACAGGTATGATGGATTGAATGGCCTCCTCTTGTGAATGATGAAAGATTCAATGCTTATTGAATAAGCTTGTTCTCCCAGCAGAAAGACTTGCCCCCTTGGTGTTATAATGCTATTGATCTTACTGTCTTGGGATCATACTCCCATTGAGTGACGCTCTCTCTCTTGTGGTGGGACCACTACAGTATCCGCAGCAAAGAATTGCTTGTCCTAGTTAAACCTCTTCTTTGAATTGCCAGGTATGATATTATGAATCTTCAAATGACAGAGAATGGTATGTATGATTATGTTAACATTGGGACGTGGTATGAAGGGTTGCTGGACATTGACGATAACAAGCTTCAGACGAACATGACCAAGATGGTGCGCTCTGTCTGTAGCGAGCCGTGTACAAAAGGTCAGATCAAGGTGAGTCCAACTGGCACTCTAACAAATTATCTGTGAAAGGATTGGGATGGTTGCATTCATTCTGAAGGTCAACCCCCAACTTGCCGAGATTAGCTATTACATTCTAAATATTTTCTTCACTGCCTTTCAGAGAGACAGAAGTACTTCTGTTTCTGATGCAAGGTTGTCATCCTGAAATGTCAACTCTCTTTTTATCTCTTGACAGCCTGAGTGCTCTCCTGCATTTTATTTTCACTTCTATTGATGTAGCTCTCTGTTCTGTTTCAACAGGTTATTCGGAAGGGAGAGGTGAGCTGCTGCTGGATTTGCACAAGTTGCAAAGAGAATGAGTACATGCAGGATGAGTTCACGTGCAGGGCCTGTGAGCTGGGCTGGTGGCCAAATGCTGACCTCACAGGTAAGGCCATTTTTGGGAAACTGGCCTGAGATTTGGGCAGGGTCCTCATAATAAGGTTTTGCTGATTTGAGGAAGAACGGGGCAATTCTTTTCAGTGTCCTGGTCAATGTGTTTCTTGCAAACCAATATCAGTGAAATAGATTATCTGATTATCCTGTCACTGACTGACATCCTTAAGTGATCAATCAGCAACAACTTAAAGGCCTCTTCACGTTATAGATTATCTCTGATCCTGGCAGGTGGGGATGAATGTTATTCAGAACTCTTATTTCTCTATTTTTCTAATTTATTGCTGGACATTTTATTTCTTTATTTTTCTTTTTTTTTCCCCAAAGAATTTGTACTTAAGAATCTGTACCTAGGTACCTTGGTACTTTAGATGGTGCCATAAGTGGTGACTTATAACCTTTTCACTGTACTCATGTGAGTACATGTGACAAAAAACTCATTCTAATTCTATTGTAACCCATAAACAGTGTGGTCTGCCTGCTGGGTTAGCTGGGCTGGTGTGTGGGCCTTTGATCTTTTCCAAACTATGTATGTTTGTGAGCATGGTGAGGGGGGAGGGGGTGTAGAAGCTGACCTTGCCTCCTAGCCCCCTGACAAGCCCCTGTCTCTGCACGGCACTCCACACTCCCACCACATCATATCCCCTCCACCCACTATCCCCCCTCCCCGAACCACCACCGATACAACTCACCTCCTGTGCCCACAGCTTCTGGACTTCTGTGGCTCCAATTGGCCAGCAGCCTGATTGACCTGGGGGAGGACATCACTATCCCTGGGTGACCACTTAAGTACACAATAGGTGCATGATCTGATGGGCTCTCCAGTTCGTATTGGTGAAGATGACGGAATCCTGCCTGTTTTACGCATACCACCAAGTAAGATGAAAAGTGGACATTCCCCTCAATTTCTTTCATCTGGGCCTTTTTGAAAAATGTCAAAGACTGTGTTTTTAATATTTCCCCTTGCTTTTATTGATCCATACTATGCTATGTGTTTCCTAACACACACACCCACCAACCCCACAATATTAACTATTGCTGGAGTAATGGATTCACAGCCACCACTGCCTAAATAGCTACTTTTCATTAGCGTTATGTAGATGTTCAGCACAGGAAAAGATCATTCAGTCCAACAGTTCAACATGTTGATCGTTACAAAAACCTCATTCACCATATATCGTCTCAAATCTATCAAAATATCCTTTAATTTATTTAGTCCTCATATAGTTACGAAGCATTCACTTACATGTATCTAATCTATTCAATTGATCTACTCCATGTGGTTGCAAGTCTCACATTCTCACAAGCTTTCAGGCAGGTAAGGTTCTGCTGAATTCCTTACCTGTTTTATTAGTGACTATCTTTCACATTGACCCCTAGTTTTTAACTTCACAAAAGAGGAAACATCTTCTCCATGTCTATTCTTTCAGATTTCATTGTAACATTAAAGACCTTAAGTAGGTCTTCTCTTAGTTTTCACTTTTCTGGAAGTAACATGAAATTTGAATGCACACATTACCCAAAGATCAAGTAGCAGGGATTATTTATTATACTGGTATCAGATCATTGCAAACATGAAGGAATATTAAGGTTTAAAAAGGAAGACAGAGTATTTACATGGATATAATTCACTGGTTTAAATTTGGTTGAGGAAATCCTTTGTCTGATCTTTCTCCCTAACAGGCCTCCTTCACCCAAAGTCACCCATTTTTCTAGAAGGGGTCTGTCCAACTGTTCCAGCTGCCCTCCTGCACCATCGCCACCTGCTGCTAGAGGTGGCATTATATATAAAATACAACCCCAATATGTTTAGTCTTTCCAGATAGTTGTAAGCTCTGTTTTTATTGTATTTTCTCCAGGGTTTCCACAGTATTTTCACCATGAAGAGCTTTACATAAAATCCAAACCTATCCTCATTATATGAGGTCTTGCAAGGATCAGCAGGATACAATTAAGTCATATTTCTCTCCTTGCCACTGCCCATCCTATGAGATTAATTGTAGCATCTTCCATTGCTGTCCTGGATGAAATTTTCCCAAGTAACATAGATGCCGACTAAAATCTGGAACATTCTTGTTACTCATTGGAGAACTCTCCTTCCAATTTCTTAATGTCCTCTCAATTGTTCAATGCACAATGAGCCAGGATATAATTTAACTGGTGAGTTAACAGCACCCTCCATTTATTTCACTCTTGTCCATTTATTTTCATGAAATTTTCTCCTGAATGTTGCTGTGGTTCAGAGGGCATGCAGTCTTCCATTGGGAATGTGGCAACTGTCTAAACAAAGACAAAATGGTGTGCCTCCTTAACTGATCAGATTGAAATATTCTGAATTGAATAATGCAGACCACCACAAGGTGTAAGCTGGAATAGTGGATTATTAGTGGAATCAACATCCTGGGGGATACCATTGGCCAGAAACTGAAGTGAATTTGCCACATACAGCTATGGCTACAACAGCAGGCCAGAGGCTAGGAATTCTGCAGTGAGCAGCTCACCCTCTGCTCCCCCACAAAGCCAGTCAAAATGCACCAGTCAGGAGTGATATAGAACGTTCCTCACTTGCCTGCATGCATGCAGTTCCAACAATACTGAAGAAGCTTAACCCCCATCCAGGCAAAACAGCCCACTTGACTGGGACCACATCTGTCATCATCAATATTTGCTCCCTTGATCTCCATTGTACTGTAGCAATAGGCTGTACCATCTACAAGATGCACTGCAGTAACATACCAAGGCTCCTTTGACAGCACTCAAACTGGTGCCCTCTACCATCTCGAAGGACCGGGGCAGCAGATGCATGGAAGTACCACCACCATCCTGACTTGGAACAATATAGCTCTTCGTTCACTTTTATTGGGTCAAAATCCTGGAAATCCCTCCCTATCATCATTGTGGGTGATCCTACAGTCTTTCAAAGCGGCTTGGAGTGCCTGGACCACACATTTTTGCCTTCTAAGGTATATGCCCTCTGGGGGAAATGTCTAAGGTTTATCTCCAAAGTCTTTAAGTGCTCCTTATTGGTCTTCTCTGTTATTAGCATGTCATCTAGATAACTGGCAACCCGGAGTATACCTTGTAAAATGTTCTGCATCGTCCGCTGAAAAATTGCGCAGGCTGATGATACCCGAAATGGCAGTCTCGTCTATGGGTATTGAATGTAGCATACTTCTGGGAATCCTCATCTAACCACAAATGCAAGTACTCATGGCTCATGTCCAGCTTCAAGAAGGACAGCCCCCTGCCAGCTTTGCATTTAAGTTCTCTATGTGAGGGATTAGGTATTTATCCAGCTGTGAAAAGAAGTTTACCATTTGTTTAAAATCCCCGCAAAGGCAAATCAACTCACCAGGCTTCACAGTTGGTATGACTGGTGCTCTCATTCCACAAACTGGACTGGTTTGATGATTCCTTCACTTTCCAGCCTTCTGATTTCTGCCTCTACTTTTGCCCGTAAAGCTATTGGCACTGGGCAGGCCATGCAGAATCGTGGAATTGCTCCCAGGTCAACCTGGAAGGTGGCCTTGACTCCTTTGATAGTCCCTAGACCCTCCTGAAAAACATCAAAATATTTAATAAGGACTTCATTCGAATCGAAAAATGTTCAGCCAATCTAGGTAAATCTTTCTCAGCCAATTTCGCACCATCAAGCTTGGGTATGAGCGTTTTACTATAATCAGTGAATACCAAACCAGCTGCTTCTCATAAGAGACCGGAACCGAAGTTGTATCCTTAATCTGTAAAAAAAAAAATCTCCAGTATAGGTTCTCAATCTAGCCGAGGTTTTGCACAAATTTAAAGGTTGGAGTTCACAGCGAATTTTGTTCTGGTTTTGCCGCGCTGGTATCGACCTCCATTAGAATGGGTTACCATTTAGCCAGATATTTATTTTGATTGGTTCTGATTTGGATGTTGCTAAGCAAATTAACTGTTCCAAACCAGATGTAGGTGGACTTTCCAGGGTGTGCACATGCATTTATCTCTTGGATACCAGCCTATGAGTTCTCTTACTCAATATTGGTCCCGTGGGACACTTCCACTGTCTCGAGTCTGCATACCGGCAGCAAATACAATGACTTGCCAACCCGGATTCTGAAAAAATTTTAACCGCTTTGCCTAACCTTGGCTTTGCTTTTGGGTTTTGCTGTCGGCTGACCTAGAAACCCTAAGCTCAGGATATGTCCTGAATGAGGCTATATAATTGCTTTCACTCAAGTGGTGTTCTCCTAGCTCAGTCAGGCTGGCAAAGGTATCCATTTCTATCCACTTGGCATATTTTCCAGTCAAGTTGATTACATTAATAATCTCACACGCCTAAAGGTCTCTCAGTATTTCATTAAGGGTTAAAGCAAAGTCACGTGCCTCTGCCAGTCATCTTAACCTCGTAAAAAATTCTAAATCAGATTCCCCTCGTTCTTGAATTGCCGAGTAAAACTGATAGTGTGTCAGAATTAGACGAGGCTTGGAATCGTAATATTCCTGAACTAAATGCATCAACTCTTGAAAGGTTTTAGTACCTGATGCCTCAGAGAAGATTAAGCTCCTATAACTGAAAAAGCTGCAGGTCCACAAGCTGTCAGAAAAATTACTCATTGCTTTTCATCTGCACCAATGTCATTAGCCTGGGAAAAAATAACTCATTTTTTCCACATACTGGACCCAATCTTCGACAGCATGATCAAACGTGTTGAGCTACCCAAATAATACCATGATGCCAAAAATGCTTACCCCAACTCAAAGACGACTGTTGCGAGCAAATTTCTTCAGAAGCATGCTTTTCTCTCATCACCACTGAAAAAACTCCACAGAGATCAGTATCCTGTCACCAAATCACCCTTTATTTACACATGGAAAGTCCTTGACACTGATCCAGATCCCTCAGAACCAGCTCTCAAAGTGAACAGGATGTCAGATGCTCCTGTTCTTATCTGTCAGCCAGGGCTCACTAATTGGACCAGTTTAACAGTCCCAATTAGGGAACTCATATTC